TCCTGTGGTTAGGCAGGAAGGTGGCCGTGTGCCGTGGTCAGAGGCTTGGCCCTGCACCCACAGGCGAGGGCAGCCTCTTTCCTTCTTCAGTTTCCTGGGATGAGGGGGACCAGTGGGGGCTTGTCATTGCAGGACCTCAGTGTTTCTGGGGCCCCGGCAGATGCTAGAGGAGGGAGGCCGCCCAGGAGGATTGAGCAGAGAGAATGAGCCCAACCCTCCCATGCTGGAGCCAGCAGGTTCCACACAGTGGCCCTTGGGCATCCGCCACACGCACAGGTGGCCCGACTCTCCCAGTTGGCCCCTGCCCCTTACAGAGCAGTTCCCTAGGAGGAGGATGGTCAGTGCCCAGCCAGCACAGCCTGCAACTTGCACACATGGGCCTGTCACACACTCACTCCCAGTGGGCTCAGGAGAGCCTGCTGACCCTTTCTGGAGCCATTGGTGACCAGCCCTCCGTCAGCACCTCAGACAGAGCCCCCGGCCAGATTGCTGGCCCTCTGGGGTGCTGGACTGTAGGGATGCAGGCAGCACCCTACTCTGTGTAGGCGAGGGCCAGGAGCCCTCTCTCCTCTCTCCTGGAGGTCCCAAGAGGATCCCTAGGTGAAAAGGAATGGAGGGCAGAGGGGCAAGGGAGCAGAGGAGACTACCCAGGTCGCCTCTGCCCCTTGCTCCCCAAGGTTCTCAGCTGGGAAATGGGGTTGGTGCCCTTCTCCCAGGTCTCCATCGAGCGCCTGCAGGACACGAAGGTGTCTGAAAACACAGCCAACTCTGTGCCCGCCCCAGTAAGATGTGCCGGGTGCCTGTTCAGGCCTGAGCACTCATGTCGCAGTCAACTGAGAACTGTCCTTAACGACTGTCCTGCACCATCGTGCTTCCTATCAGTCCCCAGCACTGCCCTGGCCTCGAGGTTCCAGGGTCTGGTGTGGCCCAGGGACACTGTAGCTGGGCCTTCTTTGCCTACATGGCTGCTGAGCACACCCGGGCCATGGACTGTCACCAGCAGGTAGGTCCCTATGCATGAGCTGGAATAAATGACCAGCTGTGGTGGACAGCCATGAGAGGGTGGCCCTCAAGGAGGGGACTCTTGGACAGGGACTGATGGGGTTAAGGAGCCAGCCCTGCAGTGCAGTCACTGAACTGGGGAGTGGTGTGCCAAAGCCCGGGGCGGGCTGAGCCTGCTGTTGGACAGGCAGAAGCAGGGAGCTCTGCAGGGGACTTCTAGGCCTGGCCAGGCCTGGAGGAGGTCCTATCTCGGAGGGACCACCCAGCCAGGCTGCAGGGCACAGATGGCCAGACCAACAATGGGCTGCACAAGAGTGCCTCTGGGACCCTGGCCTCAGCATAGCTGTGGCTACGGGAGCTCGAGCGTGTGCCCAGGCCCCAGCACTCTGAGGAGTGCAGGAGCAACAGGGGACCCACCGCGGCTCAGACCCTGCCTCCAGACACCAGGGCTGCACTGCAAGGCTGGAACACCCCAAACAGCCCGAGCTGTCGCTGGGCATGGGGATGCCAGGGGAAAGCCGACTCCAGAAGCTTCTAGGCTGGCTCTAGGAAATGCACTGCTCCAGGGGAAGAAGGGCGGGTGGACAAACAGATGGGTATGGGGAGGAAGAAAGGACAGTGAGTGGGTGGATGGACAGATGGACAGACGGGTGAGCAGCTGAAGGGCGTGTAGATGGCTGAGTGCAGACAGTGGGCTGAGGGGGAGAGCAAGTGGCTGCAGCCCCAAAGGTGGGAGTGATGGGGAGCCACTGAGCAGCAGCTCTGAGGGGTGCTGTGCAACCTCCCTTAGCTGCACAGACCCCATCTTCTTGGAGGGAGACAACGCATGGCAGTCATACACATGGGGTTGAGGCCGGTCAGGTCCCCATCATGAAGGCTGTGCTCTGGGCGGCCACCAGCGGTCCCTGCCAGGTGGAGGCCTCCCAAGCAGGCCTGGCAGCAGGGAGGCGCAGGAGGGGAGGAGAGGCAGCAGTGCTTCTCCCCTCCCCTCCCTGTGCTGCGAATCTCTGGGAGACTAAGGCCCACCTCCTCCCCAGCCCTGCTGTGGCTGGTCTCCCTGCCCGTGTAGCAGAGCCTCCAGACCCCATTCATCACCCCTCCAGGACAGCTTCTTACTACTGGGTTGTGGGGAGTCGTGCTCTCAGCCACACAGCACTCAGGCCTTCGCTGGTGGCTCACTGTGCTGTGAGGCTCCAGACAGCCCAGCCCCACTGGCACCTCCACCTCCTGCTCCTGAGGGGGGACACCCCCACTTCCTGCTCTGATTTTGTATGTGGGGGATACTCTCCAGACATGGAGCCCTGAGTGAGTCACCATAGGGACCTGATTCCTCCATGCACCATTGGGAACACTTGGATTTGGGTCCAGTGGGGTCTTGGTGGAGCGGGGAAGGCCTGGGGGAGGCAGGCTGGCAGGTGTGGACAGCTACCAAGGCCAGCTGAGCTGGGTGGTGACAGACGATGGCCCCAGAGGCCCACAGAGGCCAGCGCCAATTTATAAGCTGGGCACAGTGACATGATCATCCCTTTGAAAGCTTTTAAAGGAACCACAATGACATTTTTAACCCATTTATGAACTGGGAAGCCAGGCCTGCAGCCCACGGCACCATGTAATGTCAGCAGATAAAATCCAATCAAGCCCGTAGGCCTTCTATCACAGCACGGCAGCTAGGGGCCAGGCTTTCCCACCGACAGAAGGCACTGTGGCAGGTGCACAGGGAGCCCGGCCCCTACAGCAGGTGACAAGCAGTGCATGGGGGGAGGGGAGGTCCTGCTGGGCTCTGTGCCCAGGGGCTGAGGGTGCCATGTGCTCGGCATTTATCAAGCACCCACCTCAAACAGGGTGGGCCGAGCACAGCCATGGGCCAGGGTCCCCCAGAGGAGAGGGGCTGCAGGTCACCTGGGCCTGAGTTCTGCTTGCCCAGGCTTTGGGAGGGAGTTTCTGAGATTCCACTCTTAGGATTTAGGTCAGGACAAAGACAAGGACCTGCCAGGGTGGAGCGCCCTCTTCTGGATAGGAACCTGTTCACCCTGGAGGCCTAGAGGAAGACAGCCCTGGGCCATCCCTGGAGGAAACAGGCGGTGTCCTCCCAGGCGCCTGGAACACATGCAGGCACATATACATGGCCACAGCATACACATGTGTACACACACACACACGGACCCAGAGCAGCAGCCACATGTAGAAATTCTCGAGGAGCCAGGATGCCTCTTGCAGTGGGGGCCTGCCTGCCACCCAGCCCTTGCGGGCTACCCCATCTGCAGTCAGGTTCACTGGCCCTGAGCTCTGCTGCAGATGGCGTAGCCAGGGCTTCATTATCCAGACTGACTCCATCTTGTCGAAATCAAAAACTGCTTCTCTCAGCCAGGTATAATTTGAGATT